TTCGGTAATTTTTCCTTAATATATTAAAAAAATAAAACCCCCAGTGGTGAATAAATACCACCAAAAGAAAGCTCAATTTGTCCCCAAAAAAGGGTATAAAATTAATTTCAGTACAGCGCTGCATGACGGAATAAATGTCAGTTAAAGTACAGCAGCGCTGAATACTGAAAAATGGCCTGGATGGGAAGGGGGTTTAACACCGCGGATGTCAACTGGTTAAAAGCTAGTTATAATTTGATGTGCGTGGTCGCCATTTGCTTCACTTACTGGATTTGATGTAGGAACACACTGGGGGCTTCAGCTGTCATTGTGATGTACTGAGCTTCTGAGGTGTCCCTGTACCTTTGAGTAAGGCCCCGTTCACACCTTTCCGTTTTGTCGGGCGTTCAACGCTCTATGAACGCTCTACAAAACGTACAACCATGAAAATCCCATTGTTTTCTATGGGTATGGTTCACACCTTTCCGTATTTCCGCCCGTCTGAACGCCCTACAAAACGGCTGACTCCCAAACAAGTACATGTACTTCTTTGGGCCGTTTTGGAGGGCGTTTTCCATTGTGATACAGCCAAGTAGACTTCGGAATCGCGCGACGGTCGCGCAATTTTTTTACCGCAAATCGCGGTTAAAAAACCGTGTGACGGTCGCGCGACAGACGTGCATGCGTAATACACCTAGGTGTGAACCCAGCCTAATGGGTTACCTCCAAGCACCCAAATTCATCCTTTGCTCTATATGCTCCAAGGCTCTCATAGATTAGAGTTAGTACGACACTAAAAAGAGGGGCCTTGACATGGCAGTGTGGCTTGCACATATTTTGCCAAAGTTGTGCAACCAAAACCTCTGTTGTTAACGCTAATAATTAGACAGTGTTTGGTTTTTTTTTGCAGGCTAGCTGGTAAGTGGGCTGGGGAACTTTTGTGTTTGTATTGTGTAAAGCCCTTCCACGTGCACCTTACTTTAAAAGCTAGTTATAAAATGATGTGTGCAGTTGCAATTTGCTTCACTAGGCAGAGTCTGATGAGGTGCTGCCATCACCCATTGTGACCAGGGTGGCAGTGGTGTTTATTTCCTCTAATAAATGCAGTTCTCATGTGCATGTTTTAAGTGTACTCGCATTGCAAGTGTGGTTTTATTTTGTGTTTGTTTTTTTGACGCTATGTTGCCGCTTTGTTTGTCCTCGTATTCTCTGAATACACTGGAGAATTACGTAGAAGTTGAAGGCATACGGGACCAGAAGCTCTTCCATCCTTTAATAGTTATAAGGGAGGATAGCCCAGCTAGTTTACTTTAGTTGAGGTCCATTGTAAAAGGTGAGTGCCAGTTCTATTGTGTGGGGGTTGTCAATAGACTATATTGTATTAGTTTGTTACCTTTGTGAAGGAGTTATAATATGGACTATATTGGAAATGATTCATATAAAAAAATGTTGGTTCCCTGAATTCAGACTGCACTCACAGCTTATTGTTTATTGGAACTCATTCACAAAAAAAACATGATTTTTTTTTCCAGGATTCAAATTGGAAGTTTGTGTTTATATGTTTATAGTGAATTTGATTTGCAAAGGGCACTTAAGCACTTTTCCAGAGTTTGAAGATTTATGGACTACTTTGCACTTTACATGTGTTTTGATTGCACTTCATATAATATTTGTCACTGTTATATGTATGTATTTGGTATTATTTAGCGGTGCACTAAGATTTAGTATATTGCTTCTTTCACATTAGGTGTTTGTAGGCAGGATTTAGTCATTTTTAGTGCAAAAGGATCTCCTCCAATAGTTATTGGTTTTTACAAAATCCCAACCTGACCAGGAAGAATGTCAAACAAAAAGGAGTAAAAAAAAAACAAAAAACACATTATCAGCTAAGTACATAATATTAAACATTACCGGACCAGAAGTCAGGGTCCACTTATAACTGGGTAGTATCTTATTAACAAGTTGTGTGAAAATGGGCAGATCTTTTCGAACTTTTGACCAATGCAAAATATCTTTGAGAGCATAAAATAGTAACCTGAATACCTGTGCATGGTTATGTTTTATATATGCTCCATGAGAGTTTTCACCAAAAACGGTGACTCATCTGTATGCATGTTGCAAAACACATTTGAAAGTTTAACAGGTTGGCTTTGTTAAAGTCAATTTAGGATCAGAAATTAAGTGTGTGAAGAACATGCATGCTATTCAATATGTAAGTTTAACACATCAAGGTATTCATTACCTCTCACAGAAATGACAGCACTCCACCTGACAATACAGTCAACTACCTTTTCTTTCCAGAAGTATGGAGGCAAATTTGTTGAGGCATTATCTAAAGTCAACATCTACTGCCAGCTCAGGGGTGCCACAATAGCAGTTTTCAAAAGTGTTCGACACAGAACAGACACCTGCTGCACGTCTCACCATGTGACTTGCCACATGGATACAATTGCGCAGTCTGATCACTGGGGAAGAGGAGACAAAATAAATGCTTCCTCCTTGCCTGGAGCTCAAGAACTGCTCTTTAATGGTAAAAGGTACAGAGTTGTTTGAAAAAAAATTCCTGCTATTGTATATTGTGACATTTCAGGAATTTATTATTGCAGACTTTTAAAGTTACTGAAAGGTCCACTTTAACCCATAAGGTTTCAACAGAACGAAATACAGAATGTAAAAAACAGATTAGCTACAGTACATTACATGGATAAAATGAAAAAAAAAATGCAGGTGTAGGTCTAGTTTGAATGCTACTTATTCTATCCCAGCAGCGATTTGCATAGTAAAGTAATGGGACACATCATTGTTCCCATATCGAAGTACCCACTTAACCATAAAGTCTGGTAAAGCAATAGATTTGTATTGTACGTAAAAGTTGACTGTTAATATGCATAATCCGGTGCACTGTGCTAACAGTAATTGAATTTGAGCCCGTCTTTGCATTAGCTAGACGACTTCTCTAAGCAGGATACAAAAGGTAAGTGTAAAGTGGTTTTATTGAACACATATCCGTTACATTTACTGGCACAATAACGTTAAAACATATTTTTAACTAAGACTGGATCATCATATATTGTAATACACTATGCATATTGTGGCATTTTAAAGCTTTAGGACATTTCCCTGGAAATAAATAGTTCCACATTACAGAATTTCTAACGTCTTTTTCAAAATGCAACATTTTTGATGGACGATTAAACCCTGCAAACTAAACGTCTTTGCCGAGGAATATCATGCAAGAAACAGAAAACATTTTAGCAAAAAACAGAAGCAGACTTAGAACCAAACAAAAATCCTAAACGAGGCAAGGTAGTTTTCTCTCCTACACATAAATCTTTATTGAATACCATATAGTTGTAAGTTTGAATGCTTATTTAGCAGATCTGTACTTAAACTAGTAATTTGGGTAACAGTATACTATATACTGCCTCAAACTCTACTCACCAACAAAAATAAATTATCTACAATACCGTTTTTAGACTATCAAACATTTCACTATGATTGGGAGCCCAGTGTTTAATAAAAGAGCAAAAACAAGTGCATGTCCTGGACTACAGACTTTTTTTTTTTTTAAAGAAGATCTAAGAGGTTACTTTTTTTTCCAAAGTTATCTTTTGGGTCACGGGAGGACATATGCTACTTCCTCCTGTGATCCAAAAAACTCAGCATACCGGGACGGATCCTGACAATACTGTTGAAATCCACCCAGCTTGCTGACAGAGGCAGAGCCAGCTATGCCCAACCCCTGCCCCATCCATCCCTCCAATCAGCACTGTTCGCCTATAAACCTGCTTGATATAGGGCAAAATTCAAAAGCGTCTGTGCCCATTCCTAGGAAGTTAAATCCTGGTGAATGCACTGTCACAGTGTCTTCTACACATGCCTTGTCAAACTATGATGATTTGCCATTATTGGGAGGTACAGCCTTAGCTCATCTTCTGCATTCTTCTCTTAACTTGGCTATTATCTGCAATTACCCTTTGCTTATTTTATTACTTTTTTAGTATGCCACCTATCAGGTCCTTTGCTTACTTTAGGACTGTTTTCTTGCATATCAATTAACCACTTAACTGTGGATGTCTACTGGTAAGCAGATGTGAATGTAAAAAAAAGGTTCTATATTGATGACCAATTTAACAAATATTTTTTTACATATTGCATCCCACAGTTTTCCATTTAGTTTTGCTAAATGTTTATATTTTCCCATTTGTCATTCGCATCCCTTTTCTTTAATGTCTCTTTGCTCTTCCCCTCCTTTTCGGTTTTCTACGTCTTAGAGATCTGGCATAAAGGAAGTGGACATATTCGGAAAACTTTGCCTTGGAAGGCAACTGTTATTTGTGCTGCCTATGTTTGCAAGCTTTCTACTAACTTAACAAACATTTACATTTTAAGTCACCAACATAATAAAATGTGGCAAAGGAAAAGAATGCTTTGCAGAGTCCAGAAAGAACAGCGCATCAACTAAACCTCCGTGTTACAAGTTTTATTATATAGTTTTGATGTCTTTAACAGGAATTTAAAGTTCTCTCTGGCAATATGAGTGAACATCCTATAATTTAGGCAATTTACAGATTACAGGTTCAGAATGACCTCCTAGCCCCATACAATTGCTCATTCACAGTGCAGGATTAGAGTGGGAGAGACATGTCATAACTGTATTTAAAGAATTTACCATAACAATGAAAAGCAGGGTATGCATGCATAATGTTAGCCATTGTGAGAGTCAGTTTGGATGGTGAAGGAATTTACATGTTCTAGTCTTTTTTTTTTCCTTTCAAAGTGTGATCTATAACAGTAGTAGAGTAATTTACTCACCCACAAACATGACACTTGTATTCTCTCATCCCAAGATGTCTCTTCACATGGTTTCTGGCATCTCCTAGCTGAGCTGCTGCAAAGTGGCATATCTTGCACTTGAATGGCTTTGATCCTACACATAAAAAAAATGTAACAAATAAATGGCAATATAGTTGCATGTTTATGTGCAGAATTCAAACTGAAACGGTCGGTGAAGCATAGTTGTGGGTCCTTTTTTTTTTTTTAATAAGCAGAACATGAAATTGTAAATTACGTCTCAAAATAAATTTAGGGGTAAAAATTATTTTTTTTAAAAGAAATGTCTAACTTTATTGCTGCAGTATACAACAACTCAAGAATTAAGAAGTGAAATTTCAAACTTCTGTATAAAAAAAAATCGAAACTCATTAGGTAAATTCATTAGAACTGGAGCAGACAGAATCTGGAGCAGTTGCCCATAGTGACCAATCAACTTCTCTGTTCAGTTTGGTCAGTTAAGCTTTGAAAATAAAAGGTAAAAGCTGATTGATTACCATGGGCAACTGCACCAGATTTTGTCTGCTCCAGTTTTGATAAATGCCCCTCTTTGTATATCTGTAACAAGTATTATTGAGGAAAAGAAAAAAAAAGCACATGTAAAAACAGCTTTGCCCAAATTTCTGATCTGCATACCTATATTTCTGATCTGCAGACACTAACTTCAAACAGGAACAAAACAGAGGACAGCAGAACAGTAAGGCAACTGCATTTTCAGAAGGTTAGCAAAGCCATCGTGTTTCTCTTATGAACTTGTTAAAATCCTAAACTAATGATATTGCTTAAGCAGAGGTACTCTGAGGTGCCTAGAAGTACCCGAGATAGTCTTCAAAAGAAATATCAGAGCCTCTGCTAGCCAAATTAAGTTCCACAATTTTTTTTAATTTTTTTTTTAAATATTGCATTAACTGCAACAGGTTATCGGACATTGACCAACACTGCTGGAAATATATTGATTGGTATATTGATACCCAGATAGCAAGAAAAACTTGCTACAAACTTGTGGCAGGGTGAAATTGTAATTTTTGTTAACTTGCTGCACATATTCCTGGCACGTTGTAGACTTGCAGAACAAGTTCTAGTTGACACTTTTTGAATTTGTAGCAAATTTGCTTGGCAAGTCTACAGCAAGAGTCCTGCAGGTCTTAGCAAGAGCTCTGCAAGCTCGCTGGTCTGGAGACTTGCAATGCAGACTTGCTGTAATTGTGCAACAAAATTGTGAAGCATGGCAAGTCTGCAATAGTTTAGCAAGTCATTTTCAAACTTGCAGCTCAATTGCTTGCTATCTGGGTATTGATGTGTCACGTCAGCACAAAAGGGCCAGTGCAGCATAATCTCCCATTATAAGAAATTATTTGATGGGCAATATCGTGCAAATGCAGAACAAAACAAAAAAAATCACTCGTCAGAGAGTCTGCTGCTGATGCAATGACTAAATCCCTCATGTATGTGTACTTTAAAGCAAACAGCACTGTGAAAAGTCCTATGAGCAACACCTTGAGCAAACAACCATACGTTCCGTAATTTGGCCTCAGAACAGAACCATCTAATTTCAGTAATGTGAACATGTCTGAATAAAAAACCCTGAATTTCTTCAGATGGTGAACAGGGATAATCACCCCTTTGACACTCCACATCAAAACCTCTATATAGTATCCTGCAGATACCACTTGCCATTCCGAGACTTTGGAAATATTTTAGTGCCAAAAAGTTTGCAAAAGCCAGCAAATGCCCACACGTGAGGTCAAACCTTTATGCAGAAGATTTGTTTGCAGATTTGAATATGGCCAAAGCTTTTAGCTTGAGGTTCGAGGAGGGTTGTCATGACAGAGGCACTTGTGCACACGAAAGAAGCGTGTTTCTTTCTGCAGTGAGGAGAAAATTAGTATTCTTCTTACCTATGGTGTCCGTTATGATTTCATCAAGGATCCTAAAAGTCTTTAAAATGAAAGGGAAATTAAAGCTCAAACATTATGCAAATTACCACAGCAGCAGAACTAAACTGCTGTGAACAGTTAAAGTGACATTAAACCCTCAGATTTTTTAACATACAACAATACTGTAATGTGTGCCTTACTGTAATCCATGGTTGTTTCCCTTCTCTTTGCTGCTCTTCCTTTTAAATTTGTATCTGTTCTCATGCTGGGCAGAACTTCTGTTTTGCAGCAGACTGCCTTGTCTCAGGAATGGATACACGGTGTCTGTGTATAAGTTTGTATAGGCTTGTAACCTGAGCCAGCACTACAGGAAGAGGCCCTGAGCTGAAAAGGGAAGTTCTCCCCAAGCAGGAGAAGACATGAGGATTTAAAAAGGAATAGCAGCAAAGAGACAGGAAACAACCATGGATTACAGTAAGGCACACATTACCGTATTGGTTTATGTTAAAAAATCTGAGGGTTTAATGTCACTTTAAGTGACCTGCATCCAGAGAGGCTATACCAATATATTTGACCACCTGCAATATATGTTCTGTCAGATTAGATAGGTGTTGATGTGAGCAACCATCAATCAGTAACCTGCTCCTGATGCAGACATTAAGCCTAACCCATAACTGCCCGAGAGACCCAGGCCAAGGAAAAACACTGGTCTGAGCAAGAAACCAGCTGAAAAAAAAAAATATTAATAATAATAATAATAATAATACAGGCTAGGGTTGGGATTCAAAATGTTTCTCCATCAGATCCTTAAAATAAAGAAGTCCTCAATGGGAATAACATTTGCCTTATTAAGAACAGAGAAGGGATTGCACCGTAGATGGTGTTGCCCATTTCTTAACAGATTCCTCAAAGAAAGAGTGAAAACCCCCAGGAAAAGGGGAAAGCGGATCAGGTTTTCACCCTTTAGACAACAAGTCTTTAAAGAATATCTAAACCCAAAAGCAAACATTTTATATATTGCACCTTGCCAATCCTTCAATGTGGTGTCTGCATTAGCTTTCTTTCTTGAAGCTTCTTCCTTTAATTTTCACCTGGTTATCAGGCCAGTAAGCCTGTTCTTTAACTTGCTTTAAAGTGTAGTTCCACTTTTGCAGTCAAACCTGAGAAAACCCCACTATATGTTTCTTATGTGTTCCAATCCACACAGCATATCAAAACGTATTTAAAAGCATGTATCTTACCTTTTAGCTACTTTTAGGTTAAGGCTTGGTGGTGTGCAGATACCAAGTTACTCTGAGCAGTGTGAGAGTAAAACCATAGTGAGGGTCCTCTCATTAACATACAATGCCTCGAAGGCTTCACGGCCGATGCAAGGATTTTTGCCTACACAGGCGAAAGTGCATTTTCCCCCGCCACCCTCAGGCAGTCTATTGGTAGCGCTAGCCCTGCAAAGACATCCCATGACCGCCAATGTAAGGAAGGTATTCACAATGACCGCCAATGTAACGAAGGTATTCACCATACACATACTTAAACATACCTTGTTCTTGCAGTCTTCAGGCAGTTTTTTCTTCCTTAGCAGCGGGAGGGGCTTTACATATGAATTAGCCCCAATATTTACATATCAATGGGTCGTGACTTATTGATATGCAAATCACATCGGCCCATTCATATGTAAATATCTCAGTCAGGACAGTGCAGGAACAGCACCAGCAGACTCTAGAGAGCAGAGGGAGCTGGGGGCGGGGCTCTGGCTATAAGAAACTGAAGCTCAGAGCCCCGTCCATTGCGCTGCTCCTGTGTATGGGAGGGAGGCAGTGTTTCTCCACCCTCCCCCACCAGCACCCTCAGGCGGCCACTTGTACTGCCTGTGTGGTAGCGCCAGCTCTGGAAGGCTTTAATCCTTTTTTAGGACAGACAGTGTTCAAATCTATAAATCAGTTTTATAACCAATAATTAAATCTGCCAGCAAAGTACAGACAGGATTAGAGTAAACGTAACTTTGCAGATCACCCTCCTTAACATTACATAGGGGGGAGTCTAGGTAGGATTTTTGTAAGAGAATAAAATGCACTTAAAAATGTAAGTAACAATGTATTTTTTTTAAAGTTATGCTATGTGAATGGGAACATATAACAAACATAAAATAGAGGTTATCCCATTTGGCCACAAAAGTGAAACCACACTTTAAGAGAACAAGCTGCCCAGCAAATGTGGCAGTTAAGCTGGGTACACAGTTATATTAGTTTTGTTCAGCCTGTGAGGCTTAAAAAATATCTGGCTGAACAAAACGAAAAAATCTGTCAGATTCCTCAATTTACACGAATAGCATGAATGGACAAATCTCCCTGTGTCCTTTGTAATCTGACAGTGGTGCCCAATAAGTATCTCAATACCTGCCTGACCTGGCTGTCAAAGGCTTCTTTCTGCCTTGAGGAAAATTTTAGAGTTCCACTATGCTCTTTAAAGGGAGGTAAAATCATCACTGGAGTTGTAAGACTTAGCCAAGGCCTCTAGTAGAGTGGGTGAGACCACATTGTCTGTGGCAAGGACTATTCCAGTGACCCCAATGGCCTGGGCTGGTAGCGGAGGCCTGGTCAGTTGAGACACAAAGCCCGATATCACCAGAGGCAGAAACTGTAAACCACAAATGCTAGCTGTAGTCACACTGGATTGCTCCAGAAATGTGCCAATAGTGGATGCAGAAGTGGGTAGCTCAGAGAACCTGCAGGCATGAGACGAATTTAGATGGAGCACTGTCAAAGTTAAGGTAACACCTAGCACAAGCAGAAAACAAGGTTTGTTTTGAGGGTTTGTCCATGTACACGTTGTGACCATTCTTCCTTACAGTGTTAGACACACTGTCAAAAGTAAGGAAACAGCCAGTCACAAGGTGATGTCCCTTATGGATAACACCGCCAGTTAGGGCCCAATTGCAAGTACTGCAATAATGAGCTGCAAACAGAAGGGAAGTGCAAAAGTTTAAAAAAAAAAAAGAGTGTAAAAGGTGTCAAATCCTAGACAGGCACTGAGCCTTACTGTGTCCACATAATAAGAAGCAGAGAGCAATAGACAGAGAGGAATCAACAGCCTGGGGAAATAGCTAAGGAGATCCAGAATAGGATAAACAGTGCAACATCTAAAGCCGTAACAAAAACACCCCTGCAAGTCTTCAGGGCCAGCCTGCGATGGCACCAAAACCAAGTAGAACGGCTACAGG